GAAAGAGAAGGAAATTCCTTGTTTAGATTCTGGACAAAACACTGGAAACAAAGTATAGGACAATGTTTTCCACCTTCAATTTGGTTATTCTAATATATCATTCAAGAACATTATTGTTATTAACCACTACACAGTGATTCTCAACTGGGTGCTGCAGCATTTTTTTCTGTAGTCAAAAAACAAGTAAAAACTAAGACCTAGCATTTCCTGAGGGGTGCCTTGAGCTGAACAAGAGGTGCCTCAAGTCGAAAAAGGTTGAGAACTCTAAACCCTAATGAAGTTAATCAAATGCATCATTAAAGTATTCAGACTCTTTTCTCTTCAGAATCTCTAGGGTGATTATTGCCCTGCTGGGAGGACACCACTCAGGAAGGATTGGAGAGAGAGACACAGTAGCACTCACATGCATCCAAGAGGATCTCTGTCTCTCCCTCGTCCCATCCTTCATCCTTCATTGGGCACCTTGCCACAAGACATTCACACACACTTTAACAAAAGTACTTTGATCGGACATCTTAAATTTTTTAAAGCAGATCTCGAAGCTGCTGGGGAGCTGTTGGCACATGAACCACTTGCATCCTGTAGATTGCTCACTGCTCCCCAGGAGTGTGGGAGTATAAAGCCAGCCTCACACAGAGTAACCCAGATCTCCTCAGCATGCCCTACTCACCTTACCTGTTTTTCTGTCTGCAGGAGACAATGGTGATGACAAGAAAGACCACAGAGGCACAGAGCACAGCAATCAAAATAACAAGACTGAGGGACAGGCTGGTCCTGTGGGCACCTAGATCAACAAAGCACAGGTCATTTTGAGTTATTACTAAGCCTGTGCGAAGCGACTAGTATTCACTTTGGATTTGGATTTGGCCGATTCAGGGGACATTGATTCGATTCAGTGATTCAAATCACTGTCCCGAATCAATTTGGCTGAATCTGATTCAGCGATTCAACCACTGCCGAATCAGACGAATCTCTGAATCAAACATGACCCATTCCCGCTCTCCCAGCCCTGTTCCGTCAATGGCTGCCCTGCCTGACCCCAGTGTCCCAGCTCTTAAAAAAAAAAAAAAATTAAAAAAGCGCCACACTCACTGGCTCCTGCCAGGCTGGGGAGAGGGTGGGGTGATCCCTGCTGCCCCCCACTGTCCCATGCTGCATGGGGGGATCTGCCATGAGCCCAAAGAAGCCCTAATGGCCACTGCAACAGCTGGTGAGTACGGGACTTTTTTGGTTTTTTTTAAAGGGTCGGGACACTGGGGCCACACGGGGCAGCTATTGACAATGCTGGGAGTGTGGGCAGGGGATGGGGCTGGTGGGGTTCCCCTCATGGTCCACTGCCCCTCTTCCCCCCCCCCCCCCCCCCCCACGGCCACAACTGGCGGTGTCCCCCCCCCCCCCCTCCCCCCCCCCCCCCCACTTACTGGCACAGAGTCTGGGTCCAGCTTCCTGAGGCAGCGAGCGGGGACTGCCCGAGTCTCCGTATATCTCCAAAGCTCTATGAATCATTTCCGAATCAATTTGGAGAGCTTCAAATCAATTTGGACCTTTTTATTGGTGTCCCGATTTGATTCGGATTAAGAGATTTGGCCATCAAATTAGGCCAAATCTTCTCTGAAACAAATCAGCACCCAAAGCTTTGCACAGCCCTACTGATTACCAGCAGCTAGTCATGATGGTGGACATTTTCCCATGGGGGCTGGGGGTGAGGCTGAGGTTGACACAGCCATTTAGGGACAGTTTGTTTTAACACCAAGACAGGCATTTGGTCCATGTTAATGTCCCTTCTACTCTCCTCCTCACACAGAGTCATCCATCAAGTTGGCAATAACTCCAAGTGACTGTGATGGTTCAGTCAATTTGCTTTCTCCTGGCTGGAGTTCCCAGGTATGGATCTTCCTGGGACACTGTGGCCCATGTACCATACTTACTCAAATATAAGACAACTCCAAATATAAGATGACCCCCTCAATAATTAAATTCTAGATATGGAAAAATGTATAAATGTGTTATAATTGTCCAGGAATAGAATCTAATAATTGGAGGTTTGCCTTGAATTTGTTCTCTTTCCACTGCTACAGCAGAAAAAAAAAATCAATCGGGGAGGAGGGGGTTCAGGTGGTCCTATTGCCCTCTGCCACCCCCAACTTCTTCTACCTGAAGCCCCTTCCCTGCCCCCTACTGTCAGTACTGTCAGAGCCTGCTCCCTCTGAGCACATGGAAATGAGGAGCAGATTTGAAGTCATATGCAGATGAACTGATGCATTTTATCTTTTTTTTAAACTGATGCAAGTTAAAAAACCCAGGCACGCCACAAACATACCTTTAAGAAGCACTTTTGCACCTCCTTATACAGAGTACAGACTATGCATCATACTAATCCAAACCAAAGTCTCATGATTTAGTTCATTAAGCTGGGCCTCAGCAAAAACAACAGCATTTCAAGCCATGGTGACCCCATAGCGCAGAAGTGCTCAGTATGTGTGTGCATTCCAGATATGCCTCCAACAATGGATTCAATTAGCCCCTCACTCAGGACTGGAACAATGTGTTCTTGTCATGAGTTTTGGGATTCCCCAAAAATGCATATACAGATGATGTGCGGGGCAATCTGGTCCAGCTTCACCTCAGGGAAGGTGTGGCCATTCAAATCATATACGACAGACAGAGAGGGGTTGACAGTGGGATTCTGGGTGAATTGTTTTGGGCCCCGTTTCATGATGTTTGTTGGACATTTGAGGCTGATAAAGGAAGAATAAGAATTAGAAATGGGAAAAAGGCACAGCTCAGCTGTGGGAGTGAAGAGGAGGTTGAAATGAAGAGGAAGTTGAAATGCATTCAATGTAGTGGCTCACCATGACTTGAAAAAGAGTCAGTGCTGAGGGGGGCTAAGCATAATGGGTACTACTGTATGTTGCATTCATATGAGCTTCACTAACCTGTAATCAATAAGTTCCCACAGGTATGGGCCCAACACAAAGTGGAATGCAGGAAAATTGAAGTCCAGGTGTTAATTGCCAAACCTGATCCCTCATCCCCAAATCATACAAATATCCAACCAAGGCTGAAAGCAGCCTACAGGAAACTGTAAATGCTTTGCTACAACAGGGGGTGGGGGTAGAACCGCAGAGTACCAACAATGCCTTCATTGGGCCTGTAAGGAAATGCCCTCATTGGGTCTATAAGGAAAGTAGATGGGAAAACCTGGAGGCAGAGAAGATGCTATGAGGTGGTTTTCAGCATACGCTGTTTTATTTACCTGGCAAGGGAGATACTATTTTTCTTGGCCTTGAATGATGTGGTGTAGTTAGAAGGTGAAGGCTTGTCCCATGCACTGTGGGAAGGCTAACCCCTGCGAGAGTCTACAAATGCCTCTAAATGCAAGGATCTTGGCTACACAATTTATGGTGATGGGGAATCACTCTGAGGCTTTCCATCTAGCTTGCCCCTTCAGCCTTTTGGCTGGGGGCAAGTGAGATTAGTGGACATCTGAACTCCAAGGCCTCCTGGCCTGGGGTTTGCATATAGGATGCTTGCCATGGATTTGAGAGTACCTGAAGTCCCAGGCTGAAGAGTTTGGGTGGTAGGATACTTGCCAGTGGTAGTGCCACACAGACTTGAATGACTGAGCTCTGCTCAATCAATAGAATGCAGAACTGATTTGGCTGGTTTGACCTTAGACACAAAATTTCAACCCCCCCACCCCCCAAAAAAATGACAGGTTCCCATCAGCGTCTCGGTCATTTAGCTAAGATCAAATTGTAGCACATTTCCCCTACCTGCTCCTTAGCCTTTTGGCTAGAAGCAAGCAAGAGTAGGCAGCATGTGAACTCCAAGGCTTACAGGCCCAGGGCTTACACATAGGATGTCATCCAAAATATAGGTGCCCATCAGTGTGTTTTTCCAATGTGGGTCATGTTCTATAGTCATGCTTAGCATGGGCTGCATTTATTCAGCTTCATAGTTGGTTCCATTGCTGAGCATGTGCTGCTTTTGGCAGCAGTTTAACGATGGACAATTATTTGATGATGTTTCCTTGAACGCAATTGTAAGACAAGGAGCCTTTCGCCCTACGCTGACTGAGGGAAAAAAAAACCTTTTCTTATATTTGAGTCAATATGGTAGTTCATGGGCATCATCTTTGCCCAGATACCTAAATGAAGCCCAGGGTGGGTTGCGCAGATACCTAAGTGAAGCCCAGGGTGTGTTGTGTGCTGAGCACAGCCAAGCAAACTGTTCCGATCAAACCCTTGAACTACATGACACTCGTCCAATTCAAGAAAACTAAGTTCAGATACTTTCCTGCAGAAACCCACTATGATTCAAAAGGATTTTGAACAAACCTTTGTTCAAGTGAAATCTACTATTTCAGTACAATTCTTCATGAACAGTAGCAGTTTGGTCAAGATTAAATTACTTTTCTTTCATTGGCTCAGTTTAAATGAGAAACCCCAAATGAACATTACACTTGAGACATCACAACATGGACAGGATGTTGTGGGGAAGGGGATGGTCATATTCATTGGCCTATTAATACCCCCGGAATCTCTGAGTTTGAAGGTCTGAAATATGATGCCAAGAGATTTTTCTCTGCAACAGAAGCCCCTGCCAGATGCTAGGTTTAAAACTCCATGATGACCCCTGGCCTGCTTGTTAGACCTTCATAATCTTCCCCCTTTACCTGTAGCTGTGCTGTTCCTTCCTGAATCTCCAAGGCCACTGTTGGGATCCAGGACTGTTGTGGTCAGATCTGCAAATCAGCAAGAAATTAGATGAACAAAGCAGCTTCAAAGTCCTTAGTTCAAAACAAAAAGAACCTTGATTTGGTTCTGTGGGGTACTTATAGGACTCAGGCACAATTCCTCATTGCCCCATCCCAAGTATCCATGCTTTACCTGTGGTGGCCAGAACCAGAGGGGTTACTATCATGAGCAATAAATATATGCTCTTGAAGACATCCAGGCAATTGTCTAGCACTTAAGATTAGCTAATGCAAAGCTTGCAAGTTTGCAACCCACAAATGGAATTTGCCTGTCACAATTTAACCAAAGTGTTGAATCTAACTGTTCGCACTGATCATGGGACTGACTAGGCTCCAAAAATAAGCAAAACTACAAGATTAACTGATCTAACAGGTTTTTTAAAGGTCAGCCATAACAAGATCTGACCACCTAATATAATTAGCATGTTCCAAGGAATCCAAGGAATAAGAAACCAAGGGGCTGAGCTTGGGCAGAGTAACGCTAATTTCAAACCTCAAAGTAATGTGGTGTAATTTGCTTATTGGGTGAACCCGGTCAGGGCAATAACCTTTCATGATAATTTCTAACGCCTTTTAATCCCATAGGGTAACAGCTATAGGGCAAGATTGTGAGTGGCTCTAAAACCAACAGATTAGCATAAGATAAGGCATAAAGGAACACGTATGTCAAGTAACCAGTTTGAAGGATGGGACAGAAGGACCATCGCTGTACCAAGCCTGGACCCCGGACTCCCAGTGTGAGCGAGGACCAGATCCTGACCAAGGGAACTTCCTGGTGACCTCTTGGACAGCGTTGATTGGGGACACCTGACTTTGCTGGAACGACTCGGAGTGCACCTGGCATAGAGGACTGCTGATAAGTTGCCAACGCCATGTGGGAACTTTTTGTCATTCTGTCTATCTGTTGTTATTATTCACTATTAGCTCTTTATCACTGTACTATCTGGTTGTTGCATTAACCTTTCTGTTAACTGTTGTATGCTAAGCTATAAGTAAATTTGCCTTTACTTCACTCCTGACTCGCCTCCCGAACCCAGCAGCCTAATGGCTGATACAGTCACAGCGCCTAGCTGGCCTGTGACAATGTGACACTTACCCCACAGCTCTCAGACATTCACAAGGCAAAATGAGGGTCCTCTGGCTATGCCATCCATGGCCTTCAGACTCAAGGCTGCCAAACAAGTCATGAGCCCAGGCACAGAAAAGTCAATGGATGGGCCTTGGGTAGATCCCAATCTACAACCAGGGGCCACCTGAGCTTCTCATTTAACTGAACACAACTCAGGGTTAAACTAAACCACATGAGCTGAAGGTGGAAAGGGATGTGGCATTTTGTACCCTTCTCTGCACAGACACAGAGTGAAGTTGTAGAAATTTGGAAGCTCAAGAGTGTCTCCCAGCAAGAGCCCACAGACAGGTAACAACATTAAACTTCTGTCTCGACTGTTAGCCCCTCAGTCTTTCCCATTTACCTATAGTCATGTTGCTTCTTTCTGACTCTTCCAGCATACCATAATAATCAAACATTGTGGTCAGATCTGCAAGATCAAGCATAAGTCAGATGACTGTAAGAGCAACATCCTCAGTACAGCATCAGGAGGAAACTCAGTTCTGGCCTGCAGAGAAGTGAGGAACTGGAGGGCATTGCCCCATCAGCTGACAAGGCCCTGAAGCAAACCCTGTAGGCCTATTGCCCTCCATTTAGGTATCAGGATAAGGGGCGCTTGTCATTTCATGGGGCCTGCTGTGGTGAATTTGAACATTTATTAAGTGGTTGGCTGGATTGTTCTGGCAAGAATGTTTAGTAGCTGTCAAAAGCTTTCTTTTTGGCACTCATGGGTGAAAAGAAACTGTTTCACTTAACCTGCTCTGGAAATGAGAAAGCATGCCATTTTCCCAGACACTCTCCTGCATTCCTCCTAGCATTTCTATACCCCACAGCCCTCATGCTGGCAAATTACAACTTCAATCTTGCAGATTCAATTCTATTCAATTTTTGTGGCTCCAAGGACACAAGCATTTACAGATGAGAACCGGAACTTTACTTCACTCCTGACTCACCCTCAGTCAGGAGTGAAGTAAAGAACCAGGTAGCCCACCTGGTTTTCCCATCAGCTTGGAGCCTACTTAGGGTTGGACAAAACCAGGTGGGCTGAAAGTTGGGAAAAGACAGCACTTGGAGGCCCTTGTAGAGACAAACAACATTCTGAAAAATCTGAGGTCAAGAGATTGTGTTCTAGGAAGAGAATCAACTGGTGGCCGAATCTCCGAATCCAAATCGAATCTCAGGACACTTTAATTTCCCTGAATCGAATCAGAACCCTTCAAATTGATTTGGAGAGATTTGGAAATATCAATAGATTTGGAAAGACAGAGCTTTAAATGTTTTCTCTACATACCTCTAGGTAGCAGGAGGCTCATGAATGCTGTGATGCTGGGGTGCATGGAGGGTCCCACATAAGCACAGGGGGCTCCCCAGCACATTTGGCAGCAGACCCGGAAGTGGATCAGAAACACTTCTGGTCCACTTCCGGGTCCATCAGGGAGTACAAAGGGCCCCCCCCACCCAGCATCCCTCTGGCTTGGCGACTGGTGACTTCTGGGTCTGGGGGGGCACTCGGGGTCCCCTCTGCAGACAATCGCTGAGCTGGTGGGGTAGAGGAGTGGGGGCCATGCACACCCCAGGGGACCCGGAAGTGGACCAGAACCCAAATCAACAAACTGAATCACTGTCCCTGATTTGGGCTGATTCGGAATTGAATAGGGCCCATTTCGCATATCCCTATTAATAACTATACAAAGCTTCTCCTGAGCTATATGGGTGGAAAAGAAACAAAATGACTGCTTTACCCTGTTCCATTCCTTCCACTGGGATTCTGACCCTGCCCCAGCTGTACTTTGATCACCCCATAGCCAAGCCTCAGGGCCAACTGCCAGGTCTCTGTGGTCTGGCATGTTGAGCCTACAGACACGAAGCTGCCCAACATGCAGCAGGGAGTAGCAGGTTGCAGATGGGACGCAAAGCACATGCCAAGCTGGAGGCCAACTAAGCTCAAGAAAACCATGACTCCCCTAGGTAGGGCCCTTTTGGGTGTTAGAAGAGCTCTCTGTGAGCAAAGCGGTGGCAGCTGGAGCCATAGACAGCTGCAAAGGTCACTTCCTACAGACTACCTGCCCATGAACCAGATGCCCAGCTGTCACAGGGGACATATCACAGTCCCCTCCCTCTCCAACTCTTTTCCCTCCTGTGCATCATTCACAAACAGGCACTTCCTCTCCAGCCTGCACACTGCTTCCCAGGCAGCCCTCAGCACTCCAACGTGCCTTTGGGGGGCTCTCCAAACTCGCATCTTCCACAGCTGTGATGTCAGGACCCAAACCAAACTTCTCGGCTATCAGGCTCTTGTCATCCCTAGCCTGTCGGCCTGCAGCAGGCCTCGCGCTATTTATAGTCAGGTGTGGTTGGGTACATGGCCTGGCCTCAGTCTGAGGTGCTGGGACTCAAGGCATTGCCCCATTATTGGACAGGCCCCTGGAACAGACCCTGGAGAGACAGTGCTGTTCACTTAACTGACAGGGTTACAAACCCGTCAGCCCCCAAAGCCTTGAAGGTGCCCTGAGTGCTTGCTGGGGTGGTTCTGACAACAGCTCTCTTGTGGCTCACGTTTAGAGCTGCAAAGGAACCAAGGGACATAACCCTGGAGTTAATCCAGGACCAACAGGCCCATTCTCTCCTGATACTCCTGCATCCCAGGATCCATGCCTTACCACACCACTCTGAGGCGCACACAGTGCAAATTGAAGGTTCTCTGGCTATGCCAGCCATAGTTCTCAGCTCTCAGGCTCAGGACTGCCAGCAATCCTGTACGCCCTTGGATATCTTTGAAATAGTATCTTCGATGATCATGACATCAGGATCCAAACCAAACTTCTCATTTACCAGATGCTTGTCATCCCCACCTTGTGAGCCAACACTCACCTTGTCATCCCATTCAGGTGGTTGTCATCCCTACCCATCCCTACCTTCATCTTCTTCAAGATCAGGTGTGGTTGTACTGTGTGCCATGTTCTCAGTCCTGGGTGATGTGGTCATGGTGTCTTTGAAATCTAGAAGAGAAGGATCCATGCATTTTTAGCAGCTCCTACTTCTTTAAAGACATACCAGTTTACAAATCCAGGAAATGAAAAGTCTGCTGGGTGAATTTGTAAACGGCCCATAATATCATGAAGCTAGACACAGAAAAGTCAGGAGCTGGGTCTTGGGTATATCCAAATCTACAGCAAGAATCCAAGTCGTGTTGCTTCTTCCCGACTCCTGCAGCATATTGTAATAGTAAAAAATCATGGTCAGCTCTGAAAGATCAAGCATAAGTCAGGTGACTGTATGAGCAGAGAAGCTGGAGGCCACCTAAGCTTCCCACTTATGGCCACTCAGAGCTTGACAGGCCCCTGGAACAGACCCTGGAGAGACAGTGCTGTTCACTTAACTGACAGGGTTACAAACCCTTCTGTCCTAGTAGCTTTGAAGGTGCTCCGAGTGCTTGTTGGGGTGGTTCTGACAACAGCTCTCTTGTGGCTCACATTTATGGCTGCAAAGGAACCAGTGGACTTAACCCTGGAGTTAATCCGGAAGCAACGGGCCTATCCTCTCCTGACACTCCTGCATCCCAGGATCCACGCCTTACCACACAACTCTCAGGCACAAACAGTATAAATCGCGGGCCCTCTGGCTGTGGCAGCCACGGTTTTCAGGCCTCAGACTCATGACTGCCAGCAATCCTGTACGCCCTTGGCTATCTTTGAAATAGTATCTTCGATGATTGTGACATCAGGATCCAAACCAAACTTCTCATTTACCAGACGCTTGTCATCCCTAGCTTGAGAGCCTGCCCTCACCTTGTCATCCCACCCAGGTGGTTGTCATCCCTATCCATTCCTACCTTCATTTTCTTCAAGATTAGGTATGGTTGTACTGTGTGCCATGGTCTCAATCCAGGGTGATGTGGTCCTAGGTTCTTTGAGATCTAGAAGAGGAGGATCCATGCATTTTTATCAGCTTCTACTTCTTTAAAGACATACCAGGTTACAAATCAGGGAAATGAAAAGTCTGCTGGGGGAATATGTAAACGGCCTGTAACGTCATGAACCCAGACACATAAAAGTCAAGGGCTGGGTCTTGGGTAGATCCAGCTCTACAGCAAGAGCACAAGTCAGCTTCCCTTTTAACTGACCACAACTCAGGGTTGCACTAAAACATGTGGGCTGGAGGTGGGAAGGGGGTTGCCATTCTGTGGCCCTGCTGTGCACAGGCACAGAGTGAAGATGCGGAAATCTGGAGGCGCAAGAGTGTCTCCCAGCAAGAGCCCACAAGCAGGCAACAACGTGACACTTCTGTGTTGACTATTATCCCCTCAGTCTTTCCCGTTTACCTATAGTCCTGTTGTTTTTTCCTGACCCTTCCAGCATATCATAATCAAACATCGTGGTCAGCTCTGCGAGTTCAAGCATCAATCGCATGTCTCTAAGAGCAGAAAAGCTGGAGGCCACCTAAGCTTCCCACTTGTGGCCACTCAAAGCTGGAGAGGAGCTGCACTCGCTTCACCTCTCCCACTGGGCCTCCCTCCCCTCCCCTTTGGGTGTTTCACTTCAGGAAACAGCACTACATGGCTACCTACAGTACGAATTGCCCCAAGCCATTGGAGCTACAGGAGCAGGATTTGCAGTCCTCCATAACTTCAGGCCTACTCTGTGCAGCTCAGGAAAACCCAAACTTTACTTTTGGGCTCCCTGTTAACCCCCCATAGTCTTTTCCCTTTATCTGTACTTGAGTTGATCCGTCCTAAATCTCCCAAGTGACTTTTGGAATCCATCCATGTGGTGAAATCTGTAAAAGCAGAAGCTGTTGAATGCTTTCTTTTCTGCACTTTGTGTGAAAAGAAATCAGTTCTTTTAACTTGCTTTGGAAATGGTGGAGCCCATCACTTTCCCTGACATTGTCTTGCATTCCTCCTATCGTTTCTCTACCTCACAGCCCTCAAGCACATGCAATGCAAATTACAGCTTCGATCATGCAGATTCAATTCTATTAAATTTTATGGCTCCATGGACAGAACTGTTTATAGACTGGAGCCAAAACTAGAACCAGAAATGCTACCTTGTCTTTCCACTGAGCTGGAACCAGGTTGGGCTGGCATTTGGTAAGAGAGAGAGCATTTAGCTGCCCTTTTAGATACAAACAACATTATGAAAAATCTGAGGTCAAGGGATTGTGTTCTGGGAGCAGAATCAACAGACAAATCTGTTGACATCCGTTCTCTCTTCCTCTATTCTCCCCTCACGTGCTGTATCATCAGAATTCCCCAGTTCAAGCCAAGAATCTAGTAGTGCTATGGACAACTTTGCAAATCAAGGAAGAGTCAAATGAGCAGACTACTGGTTTCCAATGATTCCATTCAGCATCAGAATAAACTGACCTGGCCTCCGCAGGTAGCTCGTGGTTTGAAGGACATCTTCCAATTTTTTGCTGATGTGTGATAAATCTCTTAAAGTTGGCACTGTCCATTTACTGGACAGACAGATGGGCCTTTCTGCCCTGATAGACCTATTACAGTCCCACTGTGAATTTTGCCCTGTGGTTACTTGACTTCCTTGAATGGGAATATGTTTTGTGTGTGTGTGAGAATAGGATCCAAAGCTTCTTTTGGGCTATTTGGGTGAAAAAGAAATAAAGTGATTCCCTCACCTTGTTCCATTCCTTCCACTCGCATTCTGACCCTGCCCCAGCTGTACTTTGATCACCCCATAGCCAAACCACACACCCAAAACCAACTGAAAGGACTATTCAGTATCCAACACATCAAGACTACAGACACAATGCTGCCTGCCGTGCAGCAGGGGCTGACAGGTTGTAGATGGGACACAAATCACATATAAAGTTAGAGGCTACCTAAGCTTCCCAGTTAGGGCCACTCAGAGCTTGAGAGGTGTTGTATTCACTTCACCTCTCCCACTGAAACTTCCTCCCCTTACCCTTTGAGTTGTTTAACTTCAAGCAACAGCACTACAGGGCTACTTAAAATACAGATTGCCCCAAGCCATAGAAGCTGCAGGAGCGGGACTGATAGTAATCCATAACTTTAGGCCAACTCTATGCAGCTCAAGAAATCCATGACTCCCCTAGGCAGGATCCCCTGGGTGTCAGAAGAGCTGCCTCTAAGCAGAGTGGTGGCAGTTGGACCCATAGACATGTGCAAAAATCACTTCCTACAGACTACCTGCCCCATCAACCAGATACCCAGCTGTCACAGGGGACTTATCACAGTCACCCCTTCAGCCCCTTTCCCTCCTGTGCATCCTTCACAACGACTGTGGGGAAAACAGCACTTCCCTTCCAGCCTGCAGACAGCTTCCCAGTCAGCCTCAGCAGTCCAATACACCCTTGGATGTCTTTTGTAATAGTGTCTTCGATGATCGTGACACCAGGACACAAACCAACTTCTTGTCTACCAGGCTCTTGTCAGTCCTACTCTGTGAGCCCTTAGCAGTCCTCACCTTGTTCATAATCAGGTATGGTTGCAGCATGTGCCGTGGTCTCAATACTGGGTGATGTGGTCATGGTTTCTTTGAGATCTAGAAGAGAAGGAACTATGCATTTTAGCAGCTCCTACTTCTTTAAATAGGTACCAGTTTACACATCAGGTAAATGTAGTCTGCTGGGGGAATTTGTAAACTGCCCATAATGCTCCATAATGTGCCATATTGTCCCACTGGAGTGTGAAGGACAGTTGTCTGACCACCATCAGTTATCAATCACCTCTGAAGCAGACAGGCTAAAAGCCCTTCTGGGTTTATCTTTAGTAATGGTGGTGCAGTTAGCGGCTATTTTCTATATCCATGGATAATCATTTTTTTAAACCTGATAAGCTATTTACCAGCCTCAGTAATATCCTACAACAATGACTTTATGGAGCATACCAAGCTCTAGTTTTTGGTGTAGCTGGTTAGGAATTTTTCTATTAAAAGGAAAAACTCATTCCCATCTTCTTCTAATTCTAGGCATTTACCTTTCACAGTCAGCTGCACCACATCGCTCTGCTCACTGACACGGGATCTGGCTCTGTTCTCTGCTTCACAGTAGTATTTTCCCACATCTGAGGATTGTACGGGATCAAACACAAGTTCAGCCCGATTGCTGAGGTGCACTGCACTGCCTCCCGGCTCCCCCTTGAACCATTGGTAGCTGATGGGTGGGGACCCTCTGGCTGAGCAGGTCAGGCTTGCCCTAGCCCCTTCCATCACTGTCAGTCCCAGATGACCAGGCGTGATGATGGGTTTGGACACCGCAACTGAAAGACAGAGAATTAGAGGTTCGCTTCTGAGGAGGCCCGCAGTCCAGGGGTTACTTAGACCCAAGAGGCAGGTTATTATGGAAAAAGCAGCCAGTGTGTGACTAGGCTTCACTGTACTTCATGGCTGTTCAGATGGAGAAGGGCATGAACCAATTTGCACTAGCTCTTCTAACTTGTTGCAGCTGCTCATCTCTCTCAAAAAAATATTCCTAACATGCGAACCCTTCTCCATCAGATGTAGAGCCATCTTTCTGTCCATCCATAAACCACACAAAGGGAGCTGTGGCACCCCTAGAGAATATAGGTGGAGCAATGCATTATCCCAGCTGTTCTCCAGCTACTTCCCATAGGAACATTAGGTTGCTGGACACACATAAGACAGTGCTGAAGGCTGTCCTAAGTAGCACTGGGTTCAAGCTGGCCACTGGCAGCCCCAGAGTTGGGTGGCCACAGGCATCTCCCCAGAGCCTTGGACTGGACCCTGCATTCTAACAGACATGATTTGTATCCCCCAAATTATTTCCTCCTAATCTGGGAGAAGACAGAAGATGTACAGTGAGGAAGAGCCCTGAGACTCCGTAAAATGCTGCCCCTAACCCTGTGGATGTGGTGAGTCAGAGTGAAAGAAATAGTCCTCTATTTTTTCTGTGCAGCCAGCTCTCTTACTAAATACCACAACTCATTCACAAGGCATTTAAGTTTTACTGCTATATTTACCTTTAACAACTCGAAGTGTAGTTGTCACCTCTTTTGTTGTCAGGCTGTCATCCTGGGCTGTCAAGGCGACTTTGCAAGTGTAGCGCCCGCTGTCTGGGATTTCAAGATTCTTAATCTGGAGGGAGACATTGCCTGGGATTTCTTTTTGAATGCTGACCCTGTCTCTATACCGAGTTAGCAGAGTGTGGTCACCAGTGAGATCTCTTTGAATGACAGTGACATGGGTATGATCACGCTCCATGGTCCAAACGACTGTTGTCTGATTAAAGTGGTCTGAGGGTACATAGATGCATGGTAAGATAGTGGAACTCTTCCACACTCCTTCAATCTCATGGGTGCCAGTCAGGTCCAGGATGGCTGCAGGGAGCAAGAGGCAAGGGGTAGAAATAAAATCACGGTGATGAGAATATCATCAATGCCAAAGGATGCCGAAAGCACCATCAGGTGAAGCCCACCAAGCCACCAGCACTGTCAGACAAGCAGCTTAAAGGACGCCACATCTTTTAGTGGCATAGACTAGGAAATGACAAATATAATTGAAAGAAGCTAGGAGGAAAGCATCTGTAGCAGTGCAGAAGAGTCGAGATATGACAGGACGTACACTGCATGGAAGAACTCTGTAGCACGTTCAGGACAACTGGCACTGTGACCTCTTCAGCCAGCCCAAGTTAAACAAGACCAGACTAAGTAAAACATATCAGTCACACTGGGAACTGATGGACAATGACATGCTCTTTGCCTCTGGAACCCGAGAAGCAAGGAAGTTTTGTGAATGTTGCATTATTCTTCCTGACTGTATTTTAAGGAACCTATAGGTTTCCCACCACCCCACCCCCATCTTCTTTTTCATAAAGTTGACTACAACCTTTAAAGGCTCCTTTACATCCTTTCTTCTGGAAATAGATTCCTCTGATGACATAAAACAGGTTTAACCTTGATAGGTAATTACCATCATCACTTAATAACTAATTATGAAAACAATTTTTCAATGTTTCTCTCTGCTGAAAGTTCTGACGGAAAGCCCTGTAGACGCCATTTATCAATAGGGAAAGTATGACACAATGATGCCAGAATGCGTCTCTCAGCTTTAGTATAGAAGAATCCCGCTGGTCAAAAATGGGGGATATATTCTCCTGGTCCTAGTCCATCTGTCAGCTCTCTTTTAAGTAGGAGAGCAAGGAGGATATTCAGTACCAGACAGAGTGGAAGAGGTTGGTTTGTGATGTGAGAACTTTCCCCATTTATTAAATGGCTTCTGACCAGATGTGCACTACTTTAGCCCCCTACTTGTTTTTATCTACATGCTCTAATTGGCCAGCATAGCTGTTCTAAAAGTTGTTTTTTTACCTTCTTTCAAAACCTTTGTATTACGGGAAGAGGCTCAAGAAAGAAAAGATTTAGAGGCTGGTGAGGAAATGCATATCAAGCTAGTTGTTCTGTTTAACTCGACAGTAAAATACTTCATGTCTTGTACTCTGTGGATGCAAAATTTTGTAGGACACATACTTGGCTGCCACATCATTTGGTGTTTACTTTCAGAAGGACACAGAATTCTTCTTTTTTGCTCGTTCTAAGCTGCTATACATTGCTACTTGGTGCTGTTTAACAGCTGTTACACAGAGCTCTGTGCTGTGGGAACTTTTTGTCATGACAGGCATCACACCTGTAAAAGTTTTAAATAGGGATTTGGCAATATATTTAACAAAGTGTCAGATAAATTATTTGTAATCATATAGATCTTCATAGAACAGCTCATAATAAATAGAATACGATTAGAATTAAAGAAATCAGAATCTGGCCCACTGCAAGTCATGCGCATGGTTGTAACCAGCACTGCAGTTACAACTGTGCATCCCCACATTTCTGAAGAATGGCTAATATCCAAACGAATGAATGTATTCCAGCGTTGGAATAAACATGGAACTGGACACCAAAATGCCAGAGCATAAATTCCCCAAGTAGTCTGGATAATCTAATTTTGTTCTAATGGATTACATTATCTCTGACCAGCTGCCCAATACTGTCCAACTTGATAGTTTCAAAAACATCTCTTTGCTCTATCTGAGGTGATCAGAATGAACTGTAACACCAACTGTGTTTTCCTCTAGAGATGCAATGCTGCTTCTTTCTACATCCTTTGTATCTGAAGTGTAACCAAGCCAGTTACATGCCAATGACATACAAAAGGCACCCTTTCCTACAGCGTATGTTTAAATCCTTGCACTAGGAACATGGCCATACACTCAAACTGACTTACATTTGTCTTCACCTACTCAGGTTACTCACCATTGCAGAGGAGGAAAGAGTTCACCAGCACTACCGCACCGGCTACCTTTTCCATTCCTTCCAGCACTGTGGCTACCTCTGTCTTGCCCTCAGCCTAGTAAAAGAGATCTGCTCTTCTAGGCTCAACAGGAAAGTCAGCAATACTTCCCCTTCTTCACTTGTTATATTATCAGCTAGTATCCAGGACTGCTGAACTTTCTTCCTTCCTTCTTACACAAATATCATGAGAATGCTGAAGGTGCTGGGCTGCCGTAGTAGCGGGAGGTTTTAGTGAGGGACAGAGTTAGGAGAGACTTCAAGAACCCTCTGGTTCTGTTTCACACTCCCCACCCTGTGTGCCTATTTACTTAGTTTACCACTTACTCAGGGTGTCCAATGAACTACATTCTTTGATTCTCTTTATAACTGGGCATTTCTTTTCTGGTTTTTTCCCTTTTACATTTTGCAATCTTTTCTCAAGCACTATTATTAATATGTATGTTAAAAATGTTCCTTTAAAGATGGATAGCGCAGTCTAGTATGGAAAATGAAGGAAAAGCTAGAATGCAGATCTCCTGTGGAATGTTAATTCAACCCCACTAACATTGTGCCTCCAGTCACTTTGGGTCCCCTGGCTCTCGGTTAGTCTTCTTGCCCAACTTATTCTAGCCACTAGTGACCCTGTCAAGCAGTCCAAGACCTACTTCCTCCTCATCCAGTCTCAGCCTCTTCAGACTCCTTGTCTAGATCTTCTCTATTCCCTCTTACCAATCCAGCTCTTGCCTTTTTGCAGTCGGATCAGAGAAGGTTTCCTTCTCCATGTCTTCTGAGTGAGAGTAGGTAAATTAGTATTAGCTCGGGAAAGATAGGCTCCTTGCTCGCAAATTAATTGTCTGGTTCCATGCTGGGCCATGGTAACCAGTAGTGGCCATTACAAAAAAGTCCAATTTAACTTTGGTCATAGTTCAGGGAAAACTCTACCTTTGCCTCTTTAGTGCTTTCTTTGAGCATGCACCCTTTGTTCTCAGTCCATGTGCCTTCAGCTCTCTCTAGGTGGGTTCATAAAGTTCTCCCATTCTGTGACCAGACCTTGAGTTACCAACCATTTATGCTCTGCACGCCTAACTGGGATTGGTATCTGTAGATCTTTTTGTCAGGAACCTGCAACAAGTAGTACCCCATCATCACTGGCATTGCCTCAGTATGAGGATGATAGTCTTCCAGTAGATAGAGAAGCCATCAGTGAGAAGAGGTCCATCAGAAATCTGCATGTTCAACTGCAGACATAGCAATACAGTTCCAGAAGGAAGGAGTGGATCTCGCTGAT